TGACAAATGGGTTAAGAAACCCGTGAAATGACAATGATTAAAATAGCTAGTAATTGTTTTTAGTATGCACGTCTATCTCCTACGCCAAAAGTATTTATTAGAAAGTATAAGAGGAGATTTCAAAAAGACTAACGATGATTAGATATAAGTATAGCATAAAACCATTAAACCAATGACTATTGAATACATATGTGTCTGAAGCTGAAGTTTTCATGATTAAGGCGGCTAGGACTGCCCACTGATTCTGTAATGAATGATTTTAGATGATGAGTGCGTCATGAACATAAATTCTGATGTCTTAGATTCTACTTGAGCTAACCCCGTTTAGGAAGAAGTGATAATAAATAACTAAGTACAAATTAAGTTGGAAGAACTTATTTCAGACAGCCTTTCATAAAGATGGATGAGGACAGATGTGAAGTGGAGGAGGCGAACGTATTAATTGAGTGCATAATGTGTGACCCAGCCTTTATAAGCATGATAGAGACAGACACATAGGTACTAGGATGCACATATATAAGCATGCTCAAGGCTACGCGTGAGTGATTAGCAATGCCACGGACATGAGTTTCAAGACAAGTAAAATGATTAGATTAATTTATCTGTTCAACGTAGGCATATGATAATAGATTTGCTACAGGAATTAAGGTTGTATAATTTGACATCAGCCATAGTGATACTGACCTATTCATAATTTCTCTTATTCTAATTCACTTTGTTTTGAATACATCACATGTTTAAACTTAAGAAACTATTACTTTTATTCTATCCTAGTAACTTTCTTTCACTGTGAGTCGATGTATCTTTGCGCCTAATTCTACATTGCTCAGTAAAAAATAATGGTAGTTTAAAATACTTGCTTATCATTTTACAGAATTAAATGTAGGATAATTTTATCAGAAGGGGTTTCGTATCAGAAAGGGATTCTTTGGTGGTCTAGCTTCAATTGATTCATGATCTTAACTAGTAGGATATTTTGATCAAGTTCAATGGGTTTGTTTTAATATCTGACAATGCTTTGAGTTGAAATTATTTTCTCGTAAAATTTGTTCATCTCGTCAACTAATTTATAATTTCATTCATCTCCCTAATAAATTGTGTTTATCTGATTAAGAATGAAAAAATTTAATATTTGAGATCATCAGTCAATTGACGCTAGACTACCATAAAAAACCTGAAACCACTGGACGACCGTTTCGTCCTACTGTGAGACTTTTCAGAAGTGCGCGTCCACGATCCCACATGACGAGATTCCAACCTAGGACCTATCCGTCTCGCACGCGAGCGCTTAACCATTAAACCACAGAGCCAGCTGGCATCCAATGATGTTAATGTCTAACTTCAACCAATCCACGAAATTGTGCGACATATCCACCATTTTTATCGGTGAGTTACTATCTCACAACAGACTCGGATGAAGCCCACTGGTTACTGCTTCTCACTAGAACTCCAGGAAATACCTCTTGAAGTCAGCCAATAGTGAACATATGTTGATTAATATCTGTTGTAAAGAGTGAGACTGCAGGTTATGATAAGCAGCGTTTTATACCGATCGATTCAGTGACACGGAAACACGTAATGAACGACCTAGAGTCTCGATTGGCCCTGCTTCGCTGTCTATCCCAGCCAGTTGAGTCCAGAACGCGAGTCACAGCCTCTGAGATATGAATCATTATATTTCAAACACACTACGTTTATATACTAACCAAGCAGACCACATCGTACCATAAAAATAGAAAACAACATTTACACAATATTAAACAAGTAAAGTAAATATCGACCAATAGGAAATGTACATTTAAAGTCCAAGGACGACATTAGACTTAACATGATAACTATTGGTATATTTTTCTGCACATCCTAACAATATCAGAAGGGGTTTTGTGGGTATTATAGTAATTTCATAGTAGGATCATATTTTATAAACGCCAAAACAACACATAATTACTGAACTACTAGTTTTCAATTTAGTTTACAGTGGGAGTAGAAAATTCTAAGGAACTTTATTAGTAGTATATATAATATTAATGTACATTACAAACAGATTATCCAAAATTATACACAAAACTCAGTGTACAAGAAGTGACTTGTCCAGCTCACAGAAGGACGAAATCTTGTAAAATTCAAATGAAATTGTTGTTGTACCCGAGTACAAAGAAACAGAAAATAAATCTAGCGGTATAATAAATAGAGTTGAACTAAATTAAGATCATTATACTACGACAAATATTTTTCATGAATTTGATTATGGCGATTCTCTAATTGTTTTATCAGATATTGGTTATCATAATAACTCTCAGGTTTTTGATGAAATTCCTTACAAAAATGAGGAAAATATGTCGGATGAATCAAATGATGATCAAAAACCTAATGCAAATTTGATAGATACTGATTTTCCTAGTGAATTCTTTATTCAATGCGGGAAATATGTTTTAAATAGGGTCACATTAATTGTAACTTGGGGATATGAGGATTCAACACCATTTGGTAGGGGAGTATAGTCATAAAATTTAAAGTCAGGATTTAAACTTCAATTCTTCAAAACGAGGGGAGGTGTTATATCCCGACGAGGATTATGAATGGTAACTTTTGAGAACTATTTATGGACCGATACGACACATATATTTTTACTGCATAATTGTTAAGCAACTAATCTATGGATATTCCTGTTCTTTTATTATAAACTTTATTTTGACCCATAGACTATTATTATACGATTGCCGTTCTTGATTTATGCCCGGTCGGTAAATCACTGTTCTCTAATTGGTGGTATCATTACGTCATATATTGACTGGGGATGAAGGCCACAAGATATAATATACACATGTTATCCTTTCAAATTTGTTATTTCATCCTAGATATGAGGTACCTCTGGATAATATGTCCAGATACAAATAAAACCTTTATGCATTCAGTAAATCGAACGTTTATCACTCACCGTTCTTACTATGCACATGTACGACAAAGTGTCCCATACTAGGACGAAACGACCATTAAATGATTTCAACTATTGGAATTTATCTAAAAGTAAATCCCCAGAAGTCTTCAACAGGGTATTGTTAAACAGAATGAAGGACTCCGTAGACGCCCAATTTCGAGGTCAACAGGCAAGATTCCGTAAGGTTAGATCGTGTACAGACCAAATCGCAACTCTATGGATCATTGTGGAACAATCATTTGAATAGAATTCATCACTCTACATCAAATTCATTGACTAAGAGAAAGCATTTGATAGCGTGGACAGAACAACACTATGGAAACTTCTTCGACACTACGGCGTGCCTCAGAAGATAGTCAATATCATACAGAATTCCTATGATGGATTAAGCTGCGAAACCGTGCATGGAGGACAGTTGACAAAGTCGTTCGAAGTAAAGACCGGTGTCAGACAAGGTTGCATACTCTTGTAGTGGCTGTGCTTCAATAATGAATCACCCTCGAACCGTTATCTTACAATCTTGAACGGTGTTTGAAATCAGAAGGTAAAAGAAGCAGCTACTACAGTTTATTTAGCAGATAATTCGGACCAGACAGCAGAGCGTCAAAAATGAATGAGCAAGCGAACTACGATTGTAGCAGTAGCAGCAGTAGTAGCAAGAGTGTAAATGTACATATATATATATATATATATATATATATATATATATATATATATATATATATATATATATATATATATATATATATATATATATATAGGGAAATGGATGAGTCATCGAATAGATTAAGCAGCTAATAATGAAGCTAGTAGAATGAATACATGCGTAGGCGCTAAACAATGTTCAAGCAAATGTATTTCATACAAGCACAATAATAATAATAACAGTACCACAAGTTGTTATAGCATGGATGACTGTCCATAAAATAGGTCAATAAAAGACCTTGACTGAACTAAACTCAATTGCACGTGAGTCGCTATACTCTCACCCTTTCTCTTTCTCCTGGTGATCGACTGGATCGTGAAGACGTCAACATCTGAAGAGAAACGAGGGGTACAATGGACATGTAGGATGCATTTGGAAGATCTAAACCTCGCAGATGATCAGACCTCAGCAGCAATGGGTCTCAATATACACAAAGGGAAAAGCAAGATTCTCCGATACAACACAGCATGCACCAATCCAATCACAATCGACGGAGAAGCTTTGGAAGATGTAGAAAACTTTACATATCTGGTCAGCATCATTAATGAACATGGTGGATCTGACACAAATGTGAAGGCACGGATCGGCAATGCAAGAGTAGTATATCTACAATTGAAGAACATCTGCAACTCAAAACAACTGTCTGCCAAACAACACCAAACTCAAAATTTTCAATATAATTGTCAAAACAGTTACTCTGTATTGGACGGAAACGTGGAGAACTACGAAAGCCATCGTCCAGAAGATACAGGTGTTTATTAACAGTTGTCTATGCAAAATACTTCTGATCCGTTGGCCAAACACTATCAGCAACAGCCTGTTGTGGGAGAGAACAAACCAGGTGCCAGAGGATGAAGAAGTCAGGAAGAATTGCTGCAAGTGGATAGGACACACATTGAGGAAAACAGCGAACTGCGTCACAAGGCAAGCCGTCACATGGAATCCCGAAGGCCAAATGAGGAGAGGAAGACCAGAGTACACATTATGCCGGGAAATGGAGATAGACATGAGAAGAATGAACAAGAATTGGATAGAACTAGAGAGGAAGACTCAGGACAGAGTGTGTTGGAGAATGCTGGTCGACGGCCTATGCTCCATTAGGAGTAACAGGCGAAAGTAAGTAAGTAATTAAATCCCTAAGAAATTATTACATTTAAAAAGAAATATCAATGAACAATATTAACTCAGAAAACAAAATAAAAATAAAATAGACAGGCATTATAATCTTCATTCTTATTGGTTAAAAATTGTCTATTATCCACATGATAATTTTTAATGTCATCAATTGACCTTGTTACTGATTGGATACAATTGATTTATTGATCATTATGTTATGATAAATTTTTATAATGGCGTGATAACTAAATATATCAGCTTACCTATCTGCCTACCCATTTATTAAAAAAAAATGTTGTACTACTTAAATGGATTTAAAATGTGATCTATTCTAATGTCGTTTATCATTGTGAACTAATTCTAATGAATTATTTAGGTCGTTTAATTTCAAGTGCTCATCAATATTATAAAAATATCAATGTAGCTAATTTAACTGGTGCTATAGATGTGATTGTAGTAAAAAATAAATATGATGAATATCAAAGTACACCATTTTATGTAAGATTTGGTAAAATGGGAGTATTATATCCACAATCACATGTGGTAAGTTATAAATGAAATGTTTCTTATTTTGATTTTATTTTCTTTTATAAACTACTGATTATATTATGGATGTATGTTATGTAAGGTGAGACTGTAACTTATGGACGATTTTCGAGTGACACCAAAGTGATTTTGAGAGTGTCTACCTACATACTAGTGCTAAATGAAGGTTATTATGCAATTTAGAGGATGAAACTATAATTTTTAGACGACCTTTGAGTGACACTAAACTGACTTTGAGAGTGCCCACCTAATAACTAGGATCAAATGAGGATTATAAACCTGTGTGAGGAATTAGAATTATGATTTACAGTTGATAGTTACAGTTAGGAATTTGATATAGAGTTTTCATCACGAACTGACATTAGCCATAAGGCCAAAACTCTATGTAGCCAAATGGATGGGTGAATTTTGCGCCAAAATCCAAGACTTGTTATCGTAAATCTGATTGGTTCGTTCATAAATCATAGTCTCGTCGTTGTAACCAAAATTAGTGTCTTGTTCCATTATTTTGTAAGTATCTGGATAACATTTCCTTATCAATATGTATCTTTTTTTCAATTCCAGTAAATGTCACTGTATTTACTACTAGATAAACTATATAATTAGTGTTCATATACAGCTTTTATTTAAGGTTTGTTATTATGCTTATTATCTAAATATCAACCTTTGTCTCTAACTTGTATTTATACAACTTCAAATTGTAGTCGGTGGTAATTTTTCCACACCCTAATGTACTTTCTGGTTATTGAACTAGAGAATATAGTTTTGCAGTGATCAAAATAGTAACAGTCAGTCAGTAACAACGTAGAATTTCGTAGGTACGTAAATCAGTTCGAGTTGCCATACCACATTAGAACAGAGATGCAGTTGTCAATTCAAATCCCGTAGTGATAGAGGTGGTAAGAGTATAAGCAGTAATCGGAAAGATTAGGGTTTGAAGATGTTATTTAAAGAGTATAATCCTGTGAAATAAATAACACTAATCATTTTACATTATAAGGGTTATGTTTGAATAATTCCTGGATGTTGACAGGCATTTCTAATCATACATTATTTTCCTTTTATAACGTTTAATTGTTTAATATTAAATCACTTGAAAATTAGCATAATCAAACTTTTATATCATATTAGAAAAGACTTTGGATCTTACTAATATTGAAAAACTCATTTGTTGTTATTCTCAGCTAAATTGACTTTAAAATAGAGTCTGGTTAGCGTTTCTTTTTTAACGAGTTAGTTTTTTACGAGATGGGGTCGCTAACCCCATGCCAACCCTCCTCGTTTGTCTGGGTTTGGGACCGACAGTAGCTCCAGAGGGGCTCCAGACGGAGTAAATGTTAAAAATAAATTGTTCCGATCTTATTTGACTTATTATTTCTTACTGATTCATTCAACATATTATGTCTTCTAGTACTATAAATATATGACGTATAGATTTTTTGACACTAAATGCAAGTTAATAACGTCTAATGTACAATACAAGGTACCTTTGTCGATAAATGATAGTTCGATTCTATCTAGCTCCCTATCTGCTGAAAGTAAGGTTTTCTTTAAAAACTTGTAAGTTATACTTATATGAATGGAATTTTAGGAACTACATGCTTAAAGGATTTGACAATTGTCTTCGTAATTATGAGTAATTCAAATCATACTATCTAGTCAATACCAGTGTTATTTTATCAACCAAATCTGAGATGTGGTCATCATTTTAAAGTGACTTCACATTACAACGCAATATATTTGATATCAGGTCATTGGAGGCTATGGATTTAATGGTTAGAAATCTACGTTGTATTTTAGAAACGTTTCCACATCGCTGTTTGTCTCGGCACAGCAGCCCAGATGATAACTGCCCGAGTACTCATATTCAGGGGGACTAACCACTGAGAACGTATGGCGTACGGCCTTAGAGTTTCAGATTGGATAATGTATCCGCCTTATTATATGCACCTTCAAAACACTGTAAGTGTAGGGAGCAATTTCCTACAGGTTTAATTCTAAGCTATTCTCTAGAGCGTCGAATACAGAGTCTTGGTATGGCCAAAGTCAGAACAAGTAAGCTATTTGTCTATATAAACTTTATCTGTTTCTATAACATAAATTAACATCGTTAGTGTGCAAACGAACAGTACAGTCTATTAATACATGGAAAAGGAGACAATAACATACCGAACAGTAGCCAGAGAATAGGAAAAATGAGTCAACAAGCAAATATTGTTTTACAATGAACATTAAACTGTGATTGGTTAACAAAAAAGATACAGTCGTACAAGGTCAAAGGAAGTTAATGTGGTGGTGGGCGTTTCCCTTTATTATTGGTGGGTTCGTTTATCGATTACATTTTACACTCCCCCCGAAACACGCACCACGTCCATTGTCTAGGGCCGTCGTCGCCGTCAGACAACCGGCTTCTTCCAGCAGGCATAGGCTTCGCACATCTCTGACGATTTCTTCGTTTGAAGTTCTCAACTTTGCCGTGCGGACTCGTCCGTCCGGGCCATAGCTTACTTGCTCGACTATAGCCTTAGGCCATAGACCTCTATTCATTTCGACGTTACTAACGAGGACTAAGTCACCCGGTTGTAAGTTTTTGTGTACGTCCAACCATTTGTCTCTTGCTTGGATAGTCGGTAAATATTCTTTTATCCATCTATTCTAGAATGCGGCGGTTAGTCTTTGAGCTTCTTTCCATCTTTTGTTGTATAATAACGTCTTATCCACCGAAGCATCGTCGAATGGTAATTTTTTATGAATCAACAACAACTTCTTCGGAGTAAGAGCTTCTAGGGTACCATCAGAGGTCTGTCATTCAGTATCCGTTCCGCCTCAGTTAAGAAGGTTTGCAGAGTTTCATCAGTCAACACGTTTTGGAATAAAAGCACTCTTAAGATTCTTCTAATTGATCTAATGATGCGTTCCCACACACCACCTCGATGACTTGCTCTAGGTGGGTTAAAACGCCACTCACATTCTCGTTCTCTAAGGTGGTTTTCTGCCTTATTAGTATTCCAGGAACGTATAATCTGTCTCAAACTGGCATCTGCACCTCGGAAGTTTGTGCCGTTATCACTAAAAATACGCTTTGGACATCCTCTTCTGGCAATAAATCTTGATAACGCGCATAGAAATGAATCCGTATCTAAAGAGTAGGTCATTTCGATGTGAACGGCTCTAATAGATAAGCAGGTGAATAAACAGCCATAACGTTTCTCGACAACTCTACCACGTTTGGCGTAGAACGGTCCGAAGTAATCCACACCTACTTGACTAAAGGGTGGCGAATGAGTCTCTACTCGGTATTCCGGCAACGGTGCCATTAATTGGGAACATGGTTTAGGATAAAGTCTTCTACATAAAAATCATCGTTTTAGAACCTTCCGAACAGTAGAATATCCTCTCACAATACAATACTCCTCACGAATACTACTCAGAGTTTGAGTAACTCCAACATGTGCGTTAATCACATGATAACGCATTATAATCATATCTGTAACGAAATGATTATTAGGAAGAATAATCGGATATTTGGTTTCAAAGGGTAAACATGATAACTGCAAACGTCCTCCCACGCGGATTTTGCCTTCAAACATAAAAGGGTTGAGATTCCTTATAGAACTTTGACGAATTAATTTTTCTCTCCTGTTCACTTCGTCGATTGCTTCTTGACCTTTTTGCTGTCTAAAAGCGTTTTCTCCAAGCGTCAACGGTGAGCTGTTTAGAATTCTTTTTTCGGCCGGGTACGCGATACTTTGGACTAATTTAATTATGTCACTCTTCGAATTTTCGATATCTTCAGCACTTAGCGCACCTAAGGGGAGTGAAGTAGTCGAACGCGTTGACAACTTCACTTATCTTGGAAGTCTGATCAGCCCTAATGGGTTGGTATCGGACGAAATCTCAGCACGGATTCGAAAAGCTCGTTTGGCTTTTGCCAACTTACGTCACCTGTGGCGAAGGCGAGATATCCGTCTATCAATAAAAGGACGAGTATACTGCGCGGCAGTCCGTTCTGTTTTAATTTACGGCAGCGAAACATGGCCATTAAGAGTAGGAGACACTCGTAAGCTTCTAGTATTTGACCACAGATGCCTTAGAAATATTGCTGGCGTCTGCTGGGATAATCGGGTAAGTAATAGTGAGGTTAGACGCAGGGTATTAGGAAAGGATGGTAAATCAGTTGATGAGGTTATGAATCTTCATCGACTGAGATGGTTGGGCCACGTATTACGTATGCCTGAACACCGATTACCACGACGTGCAATGCTATCCGGTATTGGAATTGGTTGGAAGAAAGTTAGGGGCGGCCAAACCAAAACGCGGCATCAGTGCTTGAAGTCACTAACTTCTAGTCTGAGCCATGTTGGTAGATGCAGACTACTTGGTTGGGGTCCGCGTGACTATCGTAACCAAGGGTTGGAGACTCTTGGTGACATGGCTGAGAATCGATCACAATGGCGTCGGTGTATACACTCCCTGTCTTCCCTTAAACTATGAGATTAAAATCGCTTCATATCTTTCTTTCTACGAACCAATTCTTTCTTCTTGTACTATATCTCTATATGCAATCTTTCTCTTATATATTACCACCTTTTACCTAACCACTGTTATGAATCTGGTGTTCATCTTGTTGTGCTGATGCGGTATGGCAACCTGGACCGATGCACATATGTGCCTGGTCCTACGTTGTAGCTGACTGACTGAGCGCACCTAAGGTTAGACGATTTCCGTTCCTCTTGTTTAACATATTATTGATAAGCCGTCTGCAGTATGAAAATACCATTAGAAGTCTGGACCACGACTTGCACGTACGAAATCGTTCTAGGAACTCATCATCGTGTCTTGTGAGTTCGAAATCCTCTGACAATACATGGGCTATAGTGTTCTCAATCTTTTCTAGGTTAGGCCACTTATTTTCTTCCTCCCACAAGAATCTCGGCCCTTGTAACCACTCTCTTACCTTAGCCTTATCATTTAGTGATTATCCACGAGACGCGTGATCCGCAGGATTCAATTTACCTTTCACATATCTCCATTGGCTCGGCGTAGACAACTCGTGTATAGTTTCTAACCTGTTACTCACAAACCTTTCAAACCTTTTAGTCGTATTTCTTATGCAATGAAGCACAACTGTCGAATCGGTCCAATAAATGACTGACGAAATGGGGATACTTAACTGTTCCCTTATGTGCCTTCCAACCTTAGCACACAGAACATAGGTCGTTAATTCCATTCTGGGTATAGTAACAAGTTTTAGAGGAGCAACCCTAGACCTAGCTAGCAGGAATGAACAATGGATCTAACCAGAAACACTTTCATAACGAATATACGCAACAACACCATACGCAAGCTCGGAGGCGTCGGCAAAACAATGAATTTGCGCAGATGATGGTTCAAACCCTGGTTTCAAACACCTTGGTATTCTTAGGTGGTCTAACCCTTTTATATGTCTACACCAATTATTCCACTTTGCTTGACAATCTATGGGTAACTCGGCATCCCAGTCTAGTTTCTGACGACAAGTATCTTGTAAGATCACTTTAGCTGGTAATATTATTGGGGCTACAAACCCAATTGGATCAAAGATATATGCTACATACGATAAAACATTCCTTCTGGTGGGGTTTCCATGATTTCCACGATCTTCTACAGACATCGATATAGTACGACTAAATGGATCTTTGAATTCAGTCGAGTACAACTGTTCGAACTTATCCTCTAATTCCTCTTTAGCTGAGAGGTGGTTGAGTGCACAATTGCTTCTACAAGGTTCCCTATAGGAACCGAACAGCGTCCAACCTAACGGAGTCTTCTCGGCGAATGGTTCATTCGGCTTTCCAGTTCTTATCTCTTTCATTTCGTGTACACTCGGTGCGTTGCACCCTATCAACAGTTTGACATTCTCATCCTCTACTCCAGGAAAACTTATGTCTTTTTAATGTGTCCAGGATTTCATTTGAGACCTCGTTGGTACCGTCTGCGCAACATAGGTAATCTCTCGACTGTCCATACGTTTGGGATTCTAAATGACGAAAACGAGTCTAAGGAGGAAACCTCTAGTTGAACCTCTTTACACCGAATTGTGGAATGGTTATCCAACGTTTTCAACGAAATCATCTTAGGCTCTCCTTCTAAATTCAACCTTTTAGCTAGATCTTCTGTAATGAGTGAGGCATCCGACCCACTATCTAATAAAGCACAAGTCTGTACTAACTTTTCTCCACTTCTTACCAGTACAGGAACTATTGCGAATGCTGCTTGTTTCTGTACACGCTCAACACTTTTCTCCGTACATAGCTGGGTGTTAATGTGTGCATCAATATTAGTATTCTTTGGTTCTTCCCGGAACTCGTGTAACAGGGTATGGTGTTTCCAGCCACACCCTTCGACAGCACACGACCTCGGCGATCGACAGTTTTTTGCTACGTGGTTTGCCTTCAGGCATACATTACACAACTTGTGTCTAAGAACGAATTCCTTCCTTTCTCTAACATTCTTGTCTTTAAATTTTTGACATTGATCTAAGGGATGATTACTGGAGCACTCCAAACAAGATGAACTGCGTAAGAGAGCATTATCATCACTAGCACTCGCATAAGATATTCTTGCTGCATTGTAATCCGTACTAATTTTCCTTTTTAAAACACCAACATCTTTATTGCCACTATTACTACCGCGGTTGACAAGTAAGCCGTATCTAGTATTAGCAATGTCCAATATCGATAATGGTGACGAAGGATACCAAGTTTTTGGGAGGGTGGGCATAACAGTTATTGTCTACAAAAATGTATCATGGCATACCTAACATTCTATTCATCGTCACTTTATATAGTTTGGCTACTGGATGTTTTCACACTAGGTGTCTATTTTTCTCTTGTATACAGAAAAGAATAGGGATCTACATGGGAAATAGTGATAAGTGTAATGATTAGCTAGAAACAATTTATAAACAAAACTTATTCAAGATGTTGTATTAGTTATGAATGATTAACTGGAATAAAATCAATGAACGTTTTGATGTTACTTATTATTATTATTGTTCAGATGTAAATATTTCATGTCTGTTTGCCAGAATAAATCTGATGATTAACATGATGTAAAAAGAAAACTGTCGTTATTTCTACAATAGATTCTTCTTGACAGAATTCACAACATTTTTTTTCTTCAACTAAATAATCATTGATATTCCTTGACATCTTTAGTGAGAATAAGAACTAAATTAAATGTAACCAGCTGATGAGTCCTAAATAGGACGAAACACGTGTCTTGGATTCCACTGCTAACCACTATACATCTTTATTAATAACTTACTTTGTGTTTCTGACTATCACCTTTACTCTTTATCTCTCTTAATAACAATAAACTATTGTTTTCTTTTTTGTTTTAAATTGTATTGCTGACGACAATTTATTTGTAAGTATTTTATTGTAATCAATTCTTTATGATTGTTCTTTGCAGGTTGATGTATGTATTAATGGACAGCCAAGACCAGATATATGCATGCATGTTGAACCGACAGGTTATGCTTATTTCGATAATGAGGTGTGTTTTAAATCTATATATTATTGTTCAGGATCTCTTTGTTAATCTTTGTAATCATTCAGTGAAATGATGATAAGTTCAGTAGATTAGGCTGACCCGATAGACAATTCATACATTTTTTCATATACCACTTATGGATAACGTTCTGTGATTGGTTCGTCCATAGCTTAAATGGATGAAGATGGACAACCATGAGACCACAAACTGATTGTTATACCCTAGTGAAGATTAAATTACAAGTAACTTGTGAGACCTATTAATCGAATAATATTATCTATATATTCTTATGCTATAACTATTCAGTAAATAGATTATGTATATCTATATTCCCTTTATTATAGGCTTCGTTTTGACCTATAGATTATTATGATACGATTTACCGTTCTTGAGTCATACCCATTCAATTCATTACAGTCTCCCACATTCACAGCCACTTTTTGGCTTTATTGTGTATAGATGTTATTTCCTATTTTATGGTGCGTTGCTGTCTGTTTGGTTGATATATAAACCCAGTATGTCTGAAATAAATGATTCATATAGTGGAGGCTGTTATTGGCATTCTAGACTCAGCTGGACGGGCTAGGCGAGCAAAGGGCCAAAAGGACGTTAGGCTGATCAGACCGGACGAACGTCATTGGTTTAGAACAGTACGAGAGCGAATAATTCGTATTTTGATTAGCGAGTAGATTACGTGATTACTAGTGTGCCATAAAGTCACAACACTGATCCTTATTTTTTGCTTTTACTTGTCCTTAACAAACTGATGAAATTGTAATTTAAGTACAGCTCATCAGTATGTAAATTATTGTACTGATTAAATATTTTGTAAATTAATCCAAGCTTAACTTCATTAGAAACTGTGAATTGAGTTTGGCTATTTCTTACAAGGTTATTCTTGTACTTCAATAGAGATACTAAGAGATGAGTGGACTCATTCACTTTCAAAAAGAAGAAATCACTTTACTTTCGGTTCATTTTTAGTTATTGATTTCAAGTCATTTGTCAACAAGTAGACGATAAGCACTTTGAGGAAAGAGACAACTTAAAACATACATCCTACACAATACAAGCTGCTGAGTAACTTGAGACCAATGTCTTTTTATGCAGAACAGGAGACAGACAACATATAGTGTCCTCGATGTAGAGCTACTTAGACTAATGAACAAACTAAAACTTAGTCAATAGAATTCGATCAGCACTAAAGGAATTGTTGGAAAAGGTGCATTATTGCCTCCTTACATACCTGTTCATTTTATCCCTTCGAATCATATTCTCAATGCGTACTCGTTCTTATTATCATTAACCTTACGTTAAATAGATGATTTTGGCACTCATCGTATGAATTTCATCTCATCGCGCTGTTGTAGTATAACAACTTGGTTCACATTTGTACTAATTTGTACTTTGGTCATGACTGATTTTACTAGAAAGAAAATCCAGATTATTTAAGTCTACTGAACATACAAAATCAGTGATTACTTGGAGAATCGAATCATTTTAGATCTTTCACTGATAAACATTTATTTATTTATTAGGAATGTAAACTTAAAACGGAAGATAAAGGAGTGTTACTAAGAAGCAATGAAGAATTACAAACTTGGACACAAAATGAGAATGATCATATTGATTGTGTTACAAATGAATCAAATACTGAACAATTGGAAAATGTTTTTGAAATAGATATTCAAGTTAGTAAGTGAAATAATTCAGTTGATTATATACCTAAATAAAATAAACATATCCAGACTGACACAGAATTATTCATCCATTCTTTCATGGAGAATTCTCGGAGTTCTAGTGAGAAGCCGTGACCAGTGGAGCTAATCCGTGTCAGATAGGGACAGATATCTACTTCAATACGATGGAAGATGGTCGGGCAATTCCGTGGATTGGTTGAGGTTAGACGGCTCAGTGGTGTAGAGGTCAAGCGTTCACGCGCGAGACCGAAGGTCCATGGTTCGAAAGCTGCGAGCTGGATCGTGGGTGTGTACTGCTAAGAAGTCTCACAATAGGACGAAATGGTCGTTCAGTGCTTCCATGTTTTCAATGGTGGTTTAACATCAGTCGGTTTAAGGTCTCAATCAATAACTTGATAATCTCCACAACCCTATACTGTCATGGATTAATTTGTTTCATAAAATAATAGGATCAACGTTACTGTATTCAATTACTCACATCAGAGCCATTAATAGATGACAGCTGGATTGAATTCACCAACTTATAAATAATTTAATTCCTGTAGCCATTCTTGACGATACAGAATTGGCATAAAAGTAAATGGTGAAAAGGAACTATTTCAAGTTTAATATTTATTTATTCAGAAAATGATATTCTCTTTTTAAATACACTTAATGCCATGGTTATAAAATGACATTCTAGCGAAACAACTTAAGCCTATCGATTTGTGTTAGCACAACACATAGAATGCATAGTTTATAGATGACATTTAAATCTTTAGGAAATAATTAATAATATCTTGCTGTGTTTTTTTTTCATACAAAAGATAGACTTGAAAATGAACTTAGAATTCAATTAGATACATACTACTGATCTGACAAAATTATTGCTTAGATAGCATCATATACAGTTTAGGTACCAAAACATAAATAAAGTGATTACCAGCTATTATCAGTTCTCCTACTGTTTGTCCTGAACAATACCGCCCACGAAAAAAATGCAACTTTCAATAGATTTTGGTTTGTTTTTTTAAATTACGGTTTTTAGGCTCACAATCCATACCTCTTCATCGTTATCATCGTTTACGTTTTTAATTAGAGCTTTTAGCTACAGACCTCTTAGTGATGTGTCTCTACAGGATGTCGTTGTTAAAATCGGGCATTGTGAAGGGCTATTCAAAACTTATCTTTGCACAGTGAGCCTTAAGCTAATATTAAATTTATTAAAATTATTGTGTCAGTCAGCTGTCCTCCATTCACCAATTCGCACTGTAGTCCGTTTTGTGAGTTCCAAGTAATGTTGACGATTTTCTCAGGTGCTCATTCCATAGTATCGAAGTTTCCATGATATTCTCTTATTCACACTGTCAAATGCTTTCAGATAATCAATGTTGTTGATGTATAGTGACATGTTTCATTCAATCGATTGTTCAACGATGATCAGTAGTGTGGTGATTTGGTTTGTGCACGACCGATCGATACGGAATCCGTTCTGTTGATTTCGGAGTTGGGCATCTACTGAGTATTTTATCCGGTTCAGCAACTCTCTGCTGAAATCTGTTGCTGTTACTGACAGTAATGTGATCTCTCTGTCGTTCTCACATTTACTCAGATCTCTTTTCTTTGGCATCTGGATGAAATATCCTTCTTCTCAAACTATTGGCACTTGTTCCTTCTCCGAAATCTTCCTAAATAGAACGTAGAGCATGTTTGCAATTACTTCATTGTGTCATTTCAGTACTTTAGGTGGTATATTGTCATGTCTTGCTGTTTCCCACTCTTTACTTGTCTAATGACTATCGTGATTTCTTCGATCGTTGTTGGAGTGACATCTTTGCTAAGGTCTGTGTGTGGTGTTTCGATATCCGTTGGGCTTAATGAAGCTTTTCTATTCAAGAGTTTGTCGAAATTTTTCACCCATCTGTTCCTCTGTCCTTCAATTTCAGTGATTAGCTTGTCTTCATTGTTTTTGGCCGGTTTCTCTGATTTACGATATTTCCTTGCCAGTTTCTTCGTCGTGTCATATGGTTGTTTCATATTTTCTTCTCTTACAGCTTTTTCCCCTACCCTTGTTAGGTCTTCCACATATTACTGCTTTTCGGATCTAATGCTTCTCTTCACTTGCTTGTTTGCCTCTGTGTACTCAGACTGTGCCTTGACTTTCTTTGCTCTTTTTCGACTGTTGTTGATTGCGGTCTTCTTGTTCTTCCTTTCTTCAGTCTTGTGTAAGGTTTCGATGGAGATCCATAGCTTCCTGACACGTTGAAGTTAATGCTTCTTCAATCTCTTTCAAGTTGTCCTCCTCCGTAGTAGTTTCTTCTTTCAGTTGATCCTGTAAGGCTTGGAACCTGTTTTTGAGAGTTATCTTGATTTCGTTGAGTTTTTCAGTATCTCGTAGGAAATCCGTATTGATCCTTGGTAATGCTGTTTCCCCAACTGTCCAGTGTTTCTTTTGCCTCTGCTTCATCTTGGCAACCACGAGCTAGTGGTGGTATGAAACTATGTCAGCTCACATTCTGGTTTTCACGTTTCCCATTGACCTTGCGAATTTTTAGTGATACAAATATGATCTATCTGGTTCTCGTGGTATACATTGTTGAAATGGGGTAAGACTTTATAGGAATAAGATTGTGGGTAATTGTAGAGTATTAATTAAGTGGGCAATCGGTTGGTGTGTCTAGTTCTGGAGTTTGTTCCTTCCAGTAATTTTATTTCTCCAAGTCACTGTTAAGAATGATAGTAACTTGATATAATCCTCTACTCTTATATACTATCATAAGAATCGTCAGTTAAAAGAGAATACTGTATAATCCAATTCCATAAATAGCAAAAAAACGTTATCATCACTCACCGCTTTCATTAATTTTCAGTTCCAAATGGTGACAATTCAAAACCCATAAATAACTCGTCTGAATCCCAGTCAAAATCCACAGACGTTATTCCAACTATTGACAAAGGAAGTTCAAATAATATTGAAGAACTGGATAAAGGAAATACGGAAAAGGTCACCTTAAAGTAAGTAGTCATCTAAAATTAAATTCATATGACTGTCTTTTGTTCAATTGAGAGGTGCAATATTTTGTGTTGATCCTCGGTTAAGTTTATAGGTAATTAATATCACAATTTTTTTTAAAGTAAACTACTTAACTTTCAACCAATGAGTTACATATTCACACTCCACTCTTTCTACATCACTTTGAGCATCACCATTAGTCCTTATACAATATGTTTGACTCAAAACTGATTGCATAATTTCCAATGAAAGATGCTCTCGCAATTTTGTGGATTGGTTGAGGTAAGACATTAACAGTGTTGGATGTCGGCCGGCTCAGTGGTCCAGAGATTAAGCGTTCACGCGCGAGACTGAAGGTCCTGGGTTGGAATCACGCGAGCGGGTTCGTGGATTCGCATAGCTGAAAGATCCCATGATAAAACGAAACGGCCGTCCAGTGCTTCCATGTTTTCAATGGTGGTCTAACATCAATCAGTTCAAGACCTTAATCAATATATAAATTTATATGTAGTAGAAATCCCATATTATTGATTATCTTTCCACGATTTGTTGGTTGTTTATTATTGTTAGTAGACAGAATACAGATGTTTTGTTTTTCAATTGTTGGCTTATTTTTCATGATATAGGGTTTATATCGTTTGGTCAAACTCTTATACCTTTACAAATTTTATGTTTCTTCGTTTAATTTCTTTAATTTTCCAATTAAAATTATATCTATATTTATTCATGTACACATTCAGATTGGTAATGATACTTTCTAAAGCTTCACAATCAAATGCTATTCAGATTAAGCGTTATTTAGTAGTTCATAGAATGATACTTAAGCAATAATTGTTCATTTATGTCCTCTGAAACTAAGCCAGATGATAAAACGTTATAACAGGTAAAATGTAGTCAAACGGTGTGTGGAGGACTAGTAGTTAAAATATTTAATTTTCAGTCACTTTATATCATGTTCAATTCCCAACCCACTTTGATTTAGGATGTCCTATGGTATCACTAACCCAAACACAGAAAGTTTAACTCAAAACATGCTATGCAAATCTACGTTTGGCGAGCTACATTACTGCTTCCAGTTTATATTATGTTTCATAGATATATTCTTTGGGTGACTCCGATGATATATTGTCTGACATCAACAACAAGCACATTGAAAATGATCCAATTTATCAACCAATCAGGAAAATTATTCACAAACATAGGAACAAAAACCAAACCAATGAAAGATACAACCGAAACAAAGAAGTAAACAATGACAGGTTTAAGGTCAACAAGGACCAATCAATATCGAGGTCTACAGGACAAGCTGTGAACCACATGTGGAGCAATTCGAACACTTCACTTCTACCCAGATTTTGTACTGTTGATGTCGTTCAGAAGAACGATAAAAACTCCACGACCAAACCATCCAGCTAAGAGAACAAAACTCCATCAAAATTGTCTGACATCACCAGTTTCAATTGTTTCAATATAGTGATTATCTTATGCTTCTACTTTCTTTTCTATCTTTAACACATCAACCATTGCACTTCAGGTTTACTTAACGTAATTGAAAGTAGGGATAATCTGGATACAATATAAATTTTATGAAGATGATCGACATAATTGTATAAAATCGAAAAGACGAACGTTTGTGTAAAACTGCAGTGTAACCATTTAGAATAGATCAAATAATTAAAATTTCTGGTCATCATTAAAATGTCTAAGAACATTGGTTGATGAGAAAAAGACTAATCAGTTTAACAGTTATTTTCTCACTGTTGTACTAATTTATTAGGAACTGATTGACTTGACAAAATCAAACTACAACCCAGTGTAATAATAGGCTAATGTTAGTAATGTGTGTTTAAACATTTATATTTGCTTTTTAAGAGTCTTTCAATGAATTCAAATAAATTATCTTCACCGTTTCGAGTGATTATTAAACTAGTAGAGAACACAGATTATTAGAATTCCTTAACTCTTTGATTAGTTTAGAACGTTGTTAGACGTATAAGAGAAGTTGGTACTTCTCGGTCGCCAATTGTTAAAAGATGATTTTTCGCAAAAAAGTAACTGAACTTTGTGAATGCAAGGCCTAACGAACATTTACTAGTGGTCAACCACACAATTTTTCTACGAATAAACCTTTTCTCCCACAATAGGAACCTATGAAACAGGATAAGATAAATAATTCTTTACACTGATCATTTCCAAGCTCCTATTTTCGTCATGAGAAGATACAATTGCTGTCAACATTGGTTGTCTAAGAAAAACACCTACTAATGCCATATCTCTATACAGCCAGCAGTACGAAGTCCCCCCCTCACTTTGGACCATAAGTTAACTACTTATAGTCTTACCCACTCTCTAACCACCTTACTTGGCATGGTGGTAACAAGAGTCTTTATTTCAGATAATGTTTTGTTTAATCTATTAAACTGTTATGGATAAACTATCATAAATTCACTTCTTTACATTTTTTTCAATCTTAACAGAGATTTAATTCAATATCTTCAAGATACAAATCATTGGCCAAATGAATTTTATATTTATCATCTTTTAAATAAATCTAATCTTATTAATAATCAATTAAATAAAGATAAATTAGATAATAAAATTACACAATCAAACTTGTATCCAAGTAATCCATTAAATAATTTACAAACAAATCAATTAAAACGTTCTAAATTTTTCCGTAAAAAATCATCTATCAATTGTGAATTATTATATCCGGAAGATTTTCTTAAATTAGATACTGATAAAATATCATTTAATTCTATATGGATTGTATGGTCTGATAAATGTATGTCAAGTGAAACAGCTGCTTTAATATTATTGAAACATTTATCACAGGTAAATTTATTTGATTCTATTATATAATTATGATAAACTATTATGTAATATTGATATACTTGAGTCAATCAGTCATTCAAACGGTAACAACGTAGAACTTTGCACGTACGTACATTAGTTCGAGTTGCCATACCACATTAGCACAGAGATGTAGTGGTCGATTCAAATCCTGTAGTGGTAGAGGTAGTAAGAGTATAAGCAGTAATCGGAAAGATTAGGGTTGGGAGATGTTATTTAAAGAGTATAGTCTAGTGAAATAAATTTGGGGGGAGAAAAAAAAGAGACAAGGAGGAATCAGGAGATTAGAATTTGGGAGAACACAAAAAGTGTATTCACCCGTGCCACTGCAAACGATTTTGAGCCATGTCATTCAAAGTTTTTAACCATCGGTTGCTATCATCTCGCGGTCCCCAACCAGGTAGTCTACACCTACCAACAAGACTCAGTTCACTTGTCAGTGACTTCATCGACTTGTTTTCATGAATTCACCTTACTTGATAAACGGAACAAAAATTCAAAGATACAGCGAGTGACACGATACGCTATTCTAATCCGTTGTCCCCAACCCTGCTAACTAGATCAAGAAATCTTCACGATGCGTAAAGAATGTATTGTACAAGCACTCAGAAAATACGACGTTACTAAGCACACAAATCAAGGTTATTTATATAATGATAGAAACGCCGTCAGGAGAGCCACAAAATAGCGTACTAAAAAAATCCGAGTGGGAAATGTTAGCTGTAGGTTAACTAAGCGTCTCTTGGCGCGAAAACATAAAATTCAAATTTTCAGAATAAGATTACAAAATTAAGAGAGTATGTTATCCGACATAAAAAGCGAATGTTAACTACTTTATGTAGCGCATATTCATTTTGATATTGATTTGTACTAATGTTTATGTGTTTAAATTAATAAATAAATAAGTGAAATCCCTCTAAAACGGAAAGTTGATCGCTTTCTGAAATGGCTTCATAGTATGCATAGGACTAACACCTATAAGTTCACCACCATCTCTGTAGATCGTGCAACTCAGCGCCTGAGACAGTATGATATACGGCTCAAAATAAGACCTAGTGACGATTCCGCCTTAGTTTTTATTCAGTTCTTCAAATAAAGGAAATCAATGCTTTTTATCTCGTTGTTGAAATCATGTACATATCCGTTGCTTAAGTTATTGGATAATGCAATTCCGTTTGGAGCGATGGGTACTGAATTCATGTCTTAGTATGAACATTAACACTTCGATCTAAGTATAAAAAGTTGACGGGTTCCGAATAAAACTGCTAACCTCAATCAAAATATGCTAAAACGTGTAGAAAAATCCACTTCAAACCCATCATTTAGTCAGGATGCATATAAGCTAATTTACTCCAAATTATCGTCAAAGGGTAACATAAACCATTTAAAATAAAATTTTCAAACTACCCTTTCTCCCATTGGATCTATAAAGAATTAGATAATTAGTCAACCCTTTTTTGATAAGTACTATTGTAATTTTTCAATCAAATTCAACTGTTCTAAGTACATCCAAGAATGTGTTCTTAAAAAATGTACATTTCAGTCGTTTGGCGTAGACAATCTCTAATTATAATAGTTGAAATCATGAGTCAATTGAAGCTAGATCAACATGGAAAATATGGAAGCATTGGACGAACGACTCATCCTAGTATGGGACGCCTCAGCAGTGCGCATCCACGATCCCGTCCCCAGCGAGATTCCAACCCAGAACCTATCAGTCTCGTGCGCTAGCGCTTTACCATTAGACTACTGGGCCGGCCGGCATCCAACGGTGTTAATGTCTAACTTCAACTAATCTGCGAAATTGAGCGACACGTTCACCATTGTCTTCAGTGAGCTGATATCTCTCAACAGACCCGGTTGAACTCCACTGGTCATGGCTTCTCACTAGAACTCCAGGAAATGCTTCTTGAAGTCAGTCACTAGTGAGCAGATGATTATTATCAGAATAGGTTTTGTGGAGATTTTAGTCATTTCAATAGTTGAAATCATGAGTCAGTTGAAGCTAGACCACCGTGGATGCAAACTGCTGAGGAGTCCCGTAATAGAACGAAACGGCTTTCCAGTGCTTCCAGGTTTTATATGGTGGTCTAGCTTCAATTGACTCATGATTTCAACTATTGAAATGACTAAAATTTCCACAAAACCCCTTCTGATAATCTTTAATTAACTTCCCAACTTTTAAATTTAGAATAATTCCATTTGATCTTTATCATTTTTATTATTTTTAATAACCAATTCACATCCCAATACACTATTATTCTCCATAGGATGAAAAAAAAATTCAGTTAGAAAAAGATGCTTTACATCCAGCATATAATATTATACTTCAACAACATAAACGTGATCGTGGCTCAGAATTTCCATTGATGAATTCATCATTTAATGAAACACCTGGTGATTATGAGACAGAAATACAAACTAATCAATCGAATACAATCAACACTAGTAGTACTAGTGGTTGGTTATGGTGGAGAAGACGAAAACAAACTAATCCAAGTGATATTAGTTCAGATTCTGGTTCACAAGATTTAACTTATCAAGATTTATCACATCAACATTCTTCTGTACAATCAATGCTAGCTCCAATTGATCTTGGTATATCAAGCCCAGTTTTAATGCAAGAAGAATTTGATCAAGAGAATTATGAACGGTGAGCATTAGTGAAAAATAATTTATGTTTTATAAGAATTCCATACTTTATTAACTGGTAGTTTAGTGAATAAGAAGTAAGCTGTGTATAGATCAATTGAATAGTTATGCAAACATTCATTTGCATTTGTTATTCGGATCCTCCCATTGATGTTCAAGACTGAAACTGCTCGGTCTCTTATTGGCATATGTGCATCATGTGCGGATTGTTTTGATATTTCCCCAAATCACAAACATTATAAGCATGAGAGGATGGTAGCTAGCAGAAGAGTTGGTAGCACAGTGAATGATCCAAAGGTGTTTGAAACGAACGATACTGTGTTTGAGTCACGGAATGAATATCAACTCTGTTATTCATGAACATTCAGCTGATAACTCTCAAATAGGACAAATCTCGCGTCCTGGACCCCTCTGTATACTCTATTCCTATAGGGTTATAGAATTCGTGAAAGTATTAAACATTTTCATATGTGGTCACAAACATTAGTAGTTCTTTTGAGATACGAAACTTAACTTATCATGAATTGTGACTTGATTTTATAAAGTGTATTATATGATTTTATTTAACTGGATTTAAATTTTATTCTTGTTAAAAAACGCCTCTGTGTTTTTGGTACTTATATTATATAGTCTGTACTATCCTAGATACATTCTCGCAGCATTGTATCTGTCAATTTACTCCATCTTATCCGAAGACGAGACCGAAAATGACATGAACATGTTTTTTATGTAACCGCCTATCAGCCACACATATCTGAGTGTAATATCTGGTTAGGCCTAAGTAGGTAAGGCGAGGCTTGAACTAGATTAAAGGTCTAATCCTTTAATTCAGGTACTTCCCATGAGATTGGTAAAGAAAATACACAATATTGGATGTCACTGCCCCCTAAGTTAAAAAAAGCCACACTGTTTCAAATTCCGCATCTAAGAATCGTTGTCGTACCTCAGGGCATTGCACTCATGGTTGTGATGTACATTCCTACGAACAACAGTCCAGTAACTTTCAATAATCTTACAGTAGATGAAGACTGGACATTGAGTGTTTTTATTGTAGACGTTCATGAACAATATAATAACACTATTCAAATTACCTCCTTCGTCTAAACGGCTTTGAGGATCCGCTAAGTGTTCTACGGCCATCACGAATCGCATAAAGGTAGTACATGTGTTTATTGATCTTTCAACTAATAAGCTACCGTTACATAACTCAACAACTGATAGCTTCGACTGATAATTGTCGTTACTTTTTAATCTATATCTGTTTTGATTTTTAACTTATTACTTTTTAATTGTATTGTCAATCCTCACATTTTAAATTTTATTATCATTTCTTGTACTAATCTCATACGGGGAATGAATATTATTTGAACAGTCCTTACAATCTGCCTAAAAGTGAATTGTTGAATGCACCAACTACCGCTAAAATTCCTTTACATTCTTCAGCAATCGATGTAAGATGTAGTAAAACACCAGATCCTTCACAGACATCATCTCCTGAAGAGGCAGGATATTTCTCGGATGATAATCAAAGTAATAATGCTTATCATCAAAAAACAACTGCTAATATTAAGTCGAGGATTCCAATTCAACAAGCAAATCGTTTAACATCTCAACAGCTTGTAAGTTGACAAATATTAATTCTTCTTTACTAGTATGTTTGTTTATAATTAACAGATATTTATCCTATAATTTAATTACAGTTTTGAACTTTTTAAAAAAAAGTGATCTCATGGATTTTTGGTTTAAGTTATGGTAGTTCACTTGATATTTTGATTGTTTTAAGTCTATAATTAGACTTATTCCATTGATTATAGTTGCCTTCTAAGCACTTCTCGCGTATCATGGATGAGAAATCCTGAGATTAAACATACGTTGCTAAACAAAGATAGGAAATCGATTGATGGGATTTTCAATCTCCTGAGATTGAGATAGTTGAGACATGTGTTATGTGTGACCGACTACCGACTACCTCGACTATATGATTCGCGAGAAAAAATGAATTCGTGGAGTGAAAAGTACTAGATAGTTTAGATACTTAGGATCTACAAACAGAAAAGAGTGAATGTCCTTAAGTCATTGTGAGCGATTCTGAACCATGTATCATTCACTCGACTGATAGAATTCTGGATAAAATGATGTAATGTAAACTTAGAGGTATCGTAAAATTTAGTGTATTGCTTTGTAACCTATCAGTGGTGGTTCTCTGTTTTCTATTATAACTAAAGTTCTCCAAAAATTACCGGAATTCGAACTGTTACTTGAAACGTTGTATAACATGTGTGTCGTGTAAAAGGTTTCTTAGAGTTCTTCCTCTCAATAATTTGACTCCCCTTATGTAAGTATCATGATATTATATATATTACCTGAAAAGTACAGGTACATTCGTACTAAAACCTTGGACCATACTAATCACATAATTAGCAGTGATACTGTGAATTCCTGATATCGTTTCTTTGATAAAGCTGACGATATTATTGAATGGTATTTATGTCTTTAAGATGATTATTTAGTCTGTTGTCTTATTGAAATCATGAACCAATCAATGGGACTCCTCAATAGTACGCACCCATGATCTAACATTGATCGGTTCATGGTTTCAATGAAATTCAACTGTCTACACAAACCCAAATCGACAACTTGTTATTCTTTAGTAATGACCAAACTTAGCGTTACTTTTGTTTTCGAGGTTTAATTCATCATACAGATAGACTGACTAAAGAGTCTACAATCTTTTTTAATAAATCTTTTTTAACTGCATGTGGTAGAAAGTGTTCGACTTCTTTTATCTACAATACTGATGTACTTCAGACAACTTCATTTTGTCTTGTTTTTTTCGACATGATCTATATAGGTATGTCCTGCCTTTTATATAAACAAACTTTCAAAGAAACACCCGACATTAGTTATTAGTATAAGGGATTTGTGGAGATTGTTGACTTATAAGGTTTACGTCATGAAGTGACTTTAGTTAGATAATCATTAAAAAGCATAAAACACTGGACAACTGTTTCGTCCTAGTATGAAACCTGTTATCAGTGCGCATCCATAACCACATCGGTAATTAAACCTAGGACTCACAATTCTCTCGGCGTCGGCTTAACCTTGAGATCACTGATTCGGTATTCAGTGGTTTACATTTCTAATTTCAATCAATTCATCACATTGCATAGGAATCTTCTAATGCCACTGATGGATAAGTATTTCAGGTTCGATTTGGTTGAACTCCACTTGTCACAGCTTTTAGTTAGAGCTCCAGGATTTAGTCGCTGGTGAGCGCATTATTATCATTAGATTATTGAGATTTGTGGTCAGTTTGTAATGCAAACCATAATATTAGTTGATTGAATAATGAAATTCTTGATAACTTATTTCAATATTATTTTTTTGTAGAAAAGCCTTAATTTACACAAAGGTGCAAATGAAGCGGTTTTTTCTGTTGTCAGTAAATATCAAGGTACTTGTCAATGTGCTTGTTTTATATACCTATGGGATTGGTCTGATAAAATTGTAATATCAGATATTGATGGAACAATAACAAAGTAAGTAAGAGAAGTGATTTTCACATGAATTTTGTTCTGTTTCTATTGATTAATATGTTAGAGAAGATAATTAATCAATTTTAACATAAGATATCTGGAAATTTAGGTTGTCTGTAACTAAAATCTTAGATTAACTCACTGTTGATCATTATAAGAACTCTGAATAATAATGATCTTGTCATTACTGTATTCTCTTCATTAGGTAATGTTTATACAAACTGTCAAAATTGCTTACTTACTTACGCTTGTTACTCCTCGTGGAGGAGCATAGGCCACCGACCAGTACACGTTATCCAACCCTGTCCTAAGCAATCCTTTCTAGTTTGTTCTCTCACATAGTAGGCTGTTGTTGATAGTATCCGGCCAACGGACATTCAGTATATTACGTAGACAACTGCTTATAAATACTTGTACCATTTTGACGGTGGTTGTCGTACTTCTCATGGTTTCAGCTTCATACTGTAGAACTGTCTTGACGTTCGTATTTTCAAAATTAATCCAACCTTAATGATATGGACTGTTAATTGAGTGATTATTATGTTGAACATAATATTATTTTCAGTATATTGTGGGATATTCTACATTTTCTTATCAAGCCTAATCTAGCTAGAGAGTAAATGAAGCTTCTATAAAGTTGTTCATATATTTGATATTAAATAACATCACTTCTTGGATTTCATACAGATAGCTAGAAGACATCACCTTGTTCTTGACCCTAGAACCTGCAACCAATCTCTACTTGTCCAACTTTTTATTACAGTATGCGGTTTTCAACCTTCGTCTGACATCAATACGGATCAACCAATGATTCTACCACAAGCTATAAATACATCGAGCACATCTGTACTTAGTGTACATATAGAGATTTCCTTGAATTTCACTTCTGTAAACATTTATAGAGTTGGACTGGGGCCAGTGGTACTTGTGCTTTGATAGGTGCGCAAATTTTCTGTTTGACCAATGACATAACTTATCAAAAGTCGGAAAAACTATTTGTTGAAACTAAAATTTTACCACACAGTCTCTTAGAACAGCATTATACATCCATTTGATTTTGCAGTTTTGGTGAGAATCTGTAAATTTTATGTTTGATTAGTCTAATAAGTAAATAAATGGGAAATTTTTTGTGTAAACTATTCTCAGTGCTCTTCCTACTTTTCTTACTGATAAACCACCATTTACTTAGTACTTTATGTATCGTATAGGACACCAATGAAAAAACTGTGCACAGTCAATCATGTCTCAAGTGAGATAATCAATCACCAGTGTGCACTTTTTGAAATATGGATTGTTGGATTTCATCTCAAATTGTTTGGAGTTACGATGTTTACAACTCATGAGACTTCAAAGCGTATAAGCCTAATCAAGTTTTGGGTACGCATTGTTTTGATGCCACAAACTCTTTACTCTAGCTGCTACCTTGATGTGGCATTAGGGCTTGCTTATCATGGTGACTCAGTCGCGTTATATTGACTAGAATACTCATATGTCCCTTTAGGTCCTAGCATGTTAGTAGGTCAGTTAGAGAATAATAGAACTAAAATCAGAGGACGAAATCATACAGTTGATTGTACTGAGATGTGACATCAGTAGGGTTTTTTTCCCGCAAACACCTATCATCCTCAGTGTTGACAAATTGTCATAACGAAAATACAAGGTTAGAGGCCGGTTCGCAAGAGCCACAGCTCTCCTTGTTCCACAAATTTCTGTTGCTGACGATAAGCACATCGAATTACGGAGCTAACAAATGAAGAACTTCTAACAAAATTGCCATCTGTGATTAACCTCAAGTAGTTGTTCTATAGGCTCTAAGGATATACCTTCAGATCGACAAGATCACTCCTGATTTAGTTTTCTTTTCAGGTACCCCAGAGAAAAATATACTTCTTCAGTTTGTAAGATAGGAAAGTAAAAACTCTTCACATAACTCTATGAGCAGAAACTATGACAAAATAATTGTTTCTTAATACTGGTTAATAAAATATTTCATTTAATAATTATAGATCAGATTGGTTAGGACAATTGATGCCATTGGTTGGAATGGATTGGACTCATCATAATATAGCTCAATTATACAATAAAATAGCTAATAATGGATATAAATTTATTTATTTATCTTCTCGTCCTATTGGTCAAGCTAGAGCAACAAGGAAATTTCTTTATACCATTCAACAAGATAATTATCGTCTACCAGATGGTCCAATACTTTTATCACCATTTTCTGTTCTGGAAGCATTCCGCAAGTAAGTAATCGAATTTATCGTATGCATTTTCAAATATGCGTATATAGATTTTCAAACTAAGACGTAGGATAAGTTTATGAAGCCATTGACTGTCGAGTTAACCCTATGCAGTTGGATGCAGATTATCTAATTGGGTTCCTGACGATTATCATAACTAATGTTTAGTGATGTTGAATGACATGGTTTCGAGTTGGTCACAGTTACATAAATGCATTCATTTTCGTACATCTTGAGTCTTAAAATTCGTTATCTTGTTTTTTTATTCCGCCATTCCATTCTTTCCTCTCAAATCATATTGTCTACAGCCAAAATTTTCTACTGACAACAATACTCTTACTACTTCTACTACACTTGTATTTGTCTTGATAATTTAATCTCACTGCGCCATATGTGGTGTGGCAATTTGAACGGATATATAAATATGTTCCCGATTCTGTTTTCCGTATGTTTGGCTGACTAGTAGGTTGTTTGTTGTCAGTAAAATTTCAAAGTTTTTCAGTATGTTGTCTCAATTTATAAATAAAAGTTAAGTAACATATACCACATGTATTAGTCAATGCAAAGTGTGATATACTCGTGAATGTGCACTGCTGAGGAGTCCCATACTAGGACGAAACAGCCGTCCAGTGCTTCCATGTTTTCCATCATGGTCTAACTTCAACTGACTCATGATTTCAATCTGTGAAATTTCTATTGATAAACATTGTTTTTATCATTATTTTCAGAGAAGTAATTGCAAAACGAGCAGATGAATATAAAATTGAATGTCTTCGTGAAGTATGCAATTTATTTATTGATAACAATGTTAATTATCAAAATGAAAATGAAGTAGATAGTATTCCATTTATAGCTGGATTTGGTAATCGACCAACAGATATAGCAACTTATAAAGCAATTGGTTTACATGATCATCAAATATATACAGTTGATTATTTAGGTAATGTAATATGTGGTGATCCAGGTGAAAATGAAAAAGATAAAAAATTAAAGAAAACGAATAAAATTTCTTATATTAATTCTAATCAATCATTAAACAATGAGAATAAATCTACTTCTAGTATTACAACTAATTCAGAAACAATGATCACATTATCAACAATAACTTCTGATAGTTTAATTAATACTACTACTACTACTACTACTACTACTACTACTAATAATAATAATAATAATAATAATAATAATACAGAACTAACTACAACAACAGTATATGCTAATAGTATATTAGCTAAACTTAATTTAGATTCATTATTACAAATGGTTGATGTATACTTTCCACAAATGAATGATCGACTTATGTATGCTACAAATTATTCAGATTATACATATTGGAGAATGTAAAAACGAATTAATCAAACAATTTTGAATTGTTTATATTGTTATTATTATTATTATTATTCTATAATGATTGCAAAATTGAAACGTTTTTCATTTTGATCCAAATTTAAGAGCATTTATCATGTAGATATTTCTATCGACAACAACAATAATGATTATGATTATTATTATTATGTCATTAATCATTGGCACTTCCCCCCTTCTTTCTCTCTCCCTCCCTCCCTACATCCCTGATGTATCCATTTTATAAGACATTGTGAACGGATTTCAGTTACTACTCATTTCAATCAATATTAGTTGATGTATGTGCAATTTCTTTAAAGACTAGGTTTTCTTTTTTTTTTTTAATAAAGAGAAAACAGGACATTTTTATACAAAAAATCTTTTTATTCAAGGAGAGTATTGTTACTCTTAGTAGTAGTAGTAGTAATGTTATTTTGAGTTTTGAAATTCTAATATGATTATTGTGTGTTATGAATAAATGTTTGATATATTCATTTGTTATGTTAATTACATTTCTCAGTCCTACAAGAGGTTAGTCGCAGCTCGGATAGCTCAGTGGTAACGTCTCTGATTGTGAAGCTGGGTGACGCGGGGTCGAATCCGCCAGGGAGCACCAGTTCCCTCAAGATTACAGATACACCTTGCTGACGAGTGCCAAGTAGCACGAAACCCGGGTTAACAGGGTTTCCTGTTGACTACCTACAACCACCATCTAACGTACTGATTTGTTTATTTAAGTGAATGAATTTTTTATTGATGATTACCATCGGGTGACTTTCTTCTTTTCTTCATCTGAATTTTAGAGTAAATCTCTCTCTCTCTCTCTCTCTCTCTATATATATATATATATATATATATATATATATATATATATATATATAGACCATGTTTTAGATGGTTACAGGGTTAATAAGAGAAAAAAATGAATGAAAATAGCTGTTTTGTGGGATTTAGAATTATTGTTATTCTTTAAAACAGATGAATCTGCTGTTTCATAGGTCATTTTGACGATAGGAAGCTTGAAAGTTTACTATTCACCTGTAACACTAGTAATAGGTGGTTATGTATTATGATGGACTGCCTGTAATTATAAGATCAGTGGTGTGCGATATAACCCAAATATTGATTATTTCACCCTGATTGGGCCTATATAGGATCAATGATCTTCGATCAGCCAATCACTAAGTAGCATTGAAATAAAAGTCAAAATCAATCCTTAACGCCTTTTAATCCAGAATGCAGTTCTTTTATATTTGCTTATTGGGTAGCCAGATTAGAACGCTAACAAAGCAAATAGATAACTTCTATTTGTACAGATCAATTTTATGACCCAACTCACAATAATACAGAGTAAACTGTTGATTATACATCAATATAAATATAAATTACAATATATTCATAACTACACGCATAAGTGAAAGAAACAGTTCCATCCGTAATTAGGTAGAACATAACAATAGGTTGTGTCAGACAATATTTAGTAGCTATACAATAAAAATCGGAAAAACTTTTCGGTAGAACCTTACGAAATATTCATCCATGATCAATATTTATCCCATTATAGCAACAGCAAATCACCTGTTTATTCAGTTATTTTCTAATTGATGATAAGAGGATCAAAGGTTTTATCAACTATCTAGAGTGGTATCTGAAAGGTAGCGGTATTGAAACCTACCTGAAAACACTACAGTTATCAGATCTTGTGAAGTCTTTTATAGTTCAGTTCGAAGAAGCATTTGATAACCCTGTGTTCATTAGACTGGTTGACTTAATTATAACATAAGTCTTATTGATGTTTTCTAGAAGGAAAATTAAAATTAATTAAACTATTCAGATCAGAAAATTTAATATCATTACAATGTTAAGCATACTTGTTATGATCGAAGTTCATCGATTTACATATTCAAATGACAATTTACTAAAACACGTTACACAAATTTGTCTCTATGAATCATTAACTCAATTTACGATGTGATAAAATCAATACATAGCTGTTACTTATGTGCTTCACTGAAATATGACAAAGCATGATTATCTTAATATGACAAGTGATGTTAGATTAATTGATCTCAGTGTTACTCATCAAGTTGTTGAAACTGTTAATAGTTAGCAAACATTATAGTGTTTTAAACATTACTGTTTACATTAAATTAAAATGTAAACACTTTGTAATAAAGTTTATCTAAGATATCGCAATCAATAGGTGGTTATATTCACTTAATGTTCATTTGCATTAGTCTCTTGTTGAAATATGTGCATCCTGCCTTGATATTGCCAGAAGTCACAAGCTTTATAAGCAAATAGAGATAACGCGAAACGTGCGTCCTGCATTCCTCTGCTAGCTACTATCCATCTTTGTTGATAACGTAGGTTGTAATGTTCTCTAAATTGAATGAGTTATCTGTAAAGCACTCGTCGCTTTTTTACACAGTGTAACTAACGCAAGCTGTAAGTTGAAAATAAAGGTTTTACATCGGATTCCTTTGGTTTTTTGAATAGAGAAAGAACAATTTGAAATGGTTTATATGAGATCGTAAGTCATAATCATAATTAAACCGCGTTATCACTTAATCAGACATGAATTAGCTTAATGTGTGAGAAACCGCCTAGTGCTTCCAGGTTTCTAGTAGAGGACTTAAATTGGTTGGTTCATGATTTCAATCAAAAAATCTTTTCAAAATTACCTGTATAATTGCGTGAATAAGAATACAATAATAGGAAATCTAAAAATAAAGGTAATTTAGTTCTCTATTCACATTTTACTGCTTTTGTATTGTACAAGTAACTTTTGTTAACTACTTGTTAGTGATTTGTTACTTTCAAAATTTGTATTAACTTCAAACAGAATGATATTCTTATTCATAGATATAGTAAGTTGATTTCTGACTGTGATTTATCCACCTTTACCACAACTATCTACATTTCTATTGACTTCACACCGACGTGAATGCCAGATTTTTCAGGAAACCGTTAACATTCTTAAAGTTTAAAATTTCTGTAAGATTAGTGTTGTATTAAGGCTTAACTCATCGTGTTATATGGACAGAAACAAGCGTCATTTATATTCCATTTTAATGAATTGATAGAAAGCCATCGGTTTCAAAAGGTTTGAAAAACGTATACATTTGAAAAGATGCTGTTTCTTGTCAGTCATCAGAAACAAACCATTTGGCATATATATGCATCAATTCAAATCGTCATACCACATATATATGCACAATGAGATGAAATTTTCAAGACAATACTAGCGTTGTAGAAGTAGTAACAGTATTGTTGGTAGTGCAAGAGATTAGGTATAGACTTGATAAGAAAGAATGAATTGGTAAAATAAGAATCAAAACGTTAATTTGGAGACTGAAGACCTAAAGGAAGACAAAGTGTATGCATTCGCTCCATTGTAACCCATTTCGAACAATGTCATTCTATGTCACTAACTATTAGTTACGAAAACCACACAGATATCAACCTATCTACATCAGGTCATTTCAATAGTTAATGACTTCATAGACTGATGCTATTTTTTAGTTATTGTCAATTACTTTATTCCCACTTCACAAAAATTTGCTAACGTTTAATATTATCTTCATTGCACTCTCATTTTTCCAAACTCAGTTAAAGATCTTTATTCACTCTCATTGTTCCAATGAAAGTGCGATTTTACATTTCAATTTATCACAAGGTGTTTTGTGGAGATTTTAGTCATTTCAATAGTTGAAACCATAAGTCAATTGAAGCTAGACCACTATGATCTGTTGTGAGATATCAACTCACTGATGACAATGGTGTATGTGTCGCTGAATTTCGTGGTTTAGTTAAAGTTAGACATTAACACCGTTGAATGCCGGCCGTCTCAGTGGTGTAGAGGTTAATCGTTCGCGCACGAGATCGTTATGTCCTGGGTTCAAGTGTCTCGGGAGGCGGGATCGTGAATGTGCACTGCTGAGGAGTCCCACAACAGGACGAAACGGCCGTCCAGTGCTTCCAGCTTTTCCATAGTGATCTAGCTTCAACTGACTCATGATTTCAACTATTGAAATTTCAATTTACTACAAATTTGCATTTTTTTCTTATAACTAATAATGTTATCTGCATGATTCATAAGTCTAATATCATATGAGATACATATAAATTTCATTAATAATTCTGACAGTATCGAATAGAAATACACCTACATACGTGTTGTCATCTCCGTCATCATTATGACATTTCTAAATGATTCTTAACATTATTATCATTATACATTATGCATTATTATACACCTTAATTAATTGAGTAAATGAAACATTCCGATGAAAATATTTTTCTTCATTCAAGTTCAATAGATAAATGATAGTAGGTACATTGTTGTTTTTGTGAGTCATTTCATCACAAATTCATACTTCACTCTCTTAATATAAATCAATGGTGACGTCTCAGACTGTGAAGCTGAATAGTGCTAGTTCGAATCCCACCAAACATCTCGAACGAATGTCAATCAGCACAGAAATTAAATTCAAAATTTCCCCTTGACTTATTCCAGCCACTTGATATCTGAACATAGTGCGTACAGTTTTGAAATACATAAACTAGTGACTACACTGCAATTCTATAGACAAATTTCAATTAACACTAAAACACTAGACAAACATGGTCAATTAATTGTTTATTTAAGATCAAGCAACTAATAAAGTATACCTTAGAAAAATTTTCAACTGACTTGATATGTTTTATCATTGGAATATGAATAATCAAAGTTGAAAAGCACAGTCACGAAATAGCTAATTAAGTTCCCAGTCTCATCAGTCACAGCTTTTCTTAGTCTATGTTTTCGTGTTAACAACCAGTGCCAATAATGTTATTAAATCTATTTACAAAAAACAACGCGTTTATACGAAACTACGAAAGGTGTCTTGCAGTGGAATCCAGTACGAGCGTATCGTCCTATTTGGGACTTATCATCTGAATATAACAGTATCATAAAGTTGATGTTCACTCCAGGAGTTACGGTAATCCGTACAGGATGCACATATGCCGATAAAAGACTGACCAATTGTGGTCCAATACATCGATAGGAAGATTCAAACAAATGATGCAAAATGAATTTTATACTTTTATATTATTTTCTCACTGAAATACAACAGTCACATTGCAATATCTGTCTATATTAGTGAATTTCAGTGTAAAATAACACTTTCTGCATATCACTATTTGCCCATAACTTTATGTCTTGAAGTTATTTCCTAAATGATTTTTGTCTCATTTTAAAAGTTACATTTTTTTATGATCCTCTAAAGAATAATCAATTATTTTCCTTAAAATGAATAATAAGAAGCTACACCTTCTCCGTTTTGTTTTATAATTTTATCTATTTCAGTGGTTGGTTGTATAGATTTACATATAAAACATTCAATGAATATTTTATGAATATGATCGTAGATGCGCACTGCCGAGGAGTCCCACAAAAGGATGAAGCGGCTTCCAGGTGTTTCCATGTTTGTCTAGCTTCAAATGACT